TGATTTAAACCAAATTCACCGATTATGCCAAATTCCCTGATTTAAATTAAATTCCCTGATTTAAGCCCAGTTCAATAATTTAAGCCAAATTCCCTGATTTAAACCAAGTTGGCTGCTTATGCCAAATTCCCTGATTTAAACTAAATCCCCTGATTTAAGCCCAGTTCAGTGATTTAAATCAAATTCCCTGATTGAAGCCCTGTGACCTCGTGGTGAAGGAAAAGAAAAATGCTCATTTTCACCAGGCCAGAAATAAGTGAGATTTTTTTTTTAAAGACCCTGAAATTTTAATAGTCTGAGCTGAGGAATAATTCAGTCTTAAAACACCTGACAAATTTAGGTCCAGTTTTGCTCTGCCACCAACTGTTGGGGTGTTCCAGGGCTTTTCCTGCTCACCCAAAATATAAGGACAGGAGTGTTTGATGGGAAACTCAGTGTGGAAAACTGAGGTTGGTCCTGGTTCCTTCCATACTGGGTGAGGTGTTTGGAAATTTAAATTTAAGAGAGGTTCAGAAAAAACCAAAAAAAACCACAAAAAAAACCCAACACAGAAACAAAACCAACAAAAATTACAAAAAAAATATTATTAAAAATAATATATTTTAAAAATGACAAAAAATATTGTCAAAATTAGAATTATTTAAGGAAAGCACAGAAAAATCTAACAGAAAAGAGATTTATTGGTGGGCTGCAGAAAGGCTCCATCCCACTGGGATATCCCAGCGGGTAACTCGTCCCGGCCAGGTGGGATTTGGCCATCCCATGTTTGGATAAATGGGAAAAATGGGAAGGATGCTTTCACTTTTCCCCCTTTTCTGGGAGCCAGGCCAGGTGCTCACCTCTGCTCCGGGGAGAGGGGCAGGACTGGGGTTGATTCCACCCCCCAAAGTCCGAGCTGGTGAACTCTCCTGGGAGTTTTCTCCTCCTCCGTGCGGGTTCAGGAGGGGAATTTTAATGGCTGGGCCTTGTCCCTGGGTGTCCCCAGCACCTGCAGGGAGGATGGAACCCTTTGGAATTCCCAGTGGAAGCTCCTGGAATGCCCCAAGTGCTGCTGGAGGTGCCGGGAGAGATTGAAAGGAAATGAAGGAATTAAACCCGAAATTCAGAGTTAAACCTGGCCCAGCAGGGAGAGGGTTGGAAAAGGTGGAAAAGCCACTGCCCAGGCAGGAATAGGAGTTTATCCATGGAATTCTCCCCATCCTGGTGCATCCCCAGGGCTCCTGCTGGTTCTGCTGCTCCCATTCCGGGAGTTCTGAGCTGCTTTTCCCTCTGCCAGGCGGACACAACCCACCCTCTGACCAAGCACAGGAAAATTGCCTCTTCCTTCCGGGATTCCTCTTTATTTGATATTTTCAACCTGTCCTGCAGTTTACTGAAACAGGTAAGGAGGGGCTTGGAGTCTTTACTGGGGGCTGAGTGGAGGGGAAACATGTTTGGGGGCTGAAATTCCCTCCTGGAAGGAGCTTCCTTGTCCTAAAC